GGGGGAGGGGCGCGGGACGGGGGCGCGGGCCGGGCCGCGGGAGGCGCTCAGCCCGCCCGGTGCAGCGGCGCCGCGCGACCAGGACAAAGGCGGAGCGTTTCTAAAGAGGCGGCGGCCCCTGCAGGCGGCGACGGGAATGGCGGCCCAGCCCGAGTCGGCTAGGAGCGCGGGCTGAGGGCGTGGCGGCCAGGACTGGAGGCTTTTGGGGGTCCCCGAGCGGCCAGCTGCCGGGCAGGGCTTGGTCCGCAGGCTTGGGAATGCGGGGTGCCCCTCTGCCTGGCCCACGCCCTTCCTCGCCTCAGTAAACCCTGGAGGCCAACCCCCCCCTGCCCAGCAACCCTTTGCTGGGGTAGCATTGCTCCATCTTTCAGTTAGAAAACAGGCTTAAAGCTTAGGAGACTTCCCAGGTCCCCACCTGTCTTTGTGGCCTTCTCTGCACCACCCAGGGAGGGGACTCAGGCACAGGCCTGCCCCTACCTCCACAGGTGCCCCCCACCTGTTCCCTCCCGTGGGATGGGGTCTCCAGCCCAGGAGTTCCTCTCTGAGCCCACTTGTTTAGTACCCCACCCTCCTCAAAACCAGGCCAGGCTCTAGGGCCAGAGAACCCAGTGACACACACTCGCACCCCAGGCACATCTGCATAGGCGTCCCACCTCCCTCTGCTGCTCGGGGATCTACCTGGCCTCACAGATAAGTTCTTGAGTCTTCAGCCAGCTGCCAGGCCAGCGTCCCTGCAGGCTGCCCTGCACATGGAGGAGGACTGGGAGCTGATCAGCCAGATCTGTGCCTCTCCGAGCCTGCCTGGCAGGTAAGAGGGTCATGTGGATGGGGACTGGCTGGCAGAGTTGGCTCCAGTCTGTAGGACCCTGTGCCCAGGGCAGGCCCTGAACTGGCAGGCTCCCTGTGACTGGAGCATCCTGGCTGAGGGTTTAGTGGTCTCCCTGGGAGCCCAGCCAGTGTTCCAGTGATGTGAAGCTGAGGGACCTGGTGACTGGGAGGCCTGGCACATTCTGCCTCCCCATCAGGCCTCCTGACCTCAGATGTGGCTGGGAGACGTCAGCAGAGCAAAGGGATCAAGGCCTGCTGGCCTTACCAAGGGCAAGTAGGACCTCTCTGAGCCTAGTGCTCCCATCTGAGCACAAAATCACAGGCAGCCTCGTGGGCTGGAGACCAATGATGGTGCCCATGCCAGGCCAGCTCTCTGGCCTAGGATACAGGCCACACTGCCCAGACCCCTCTGGCTGCTGCACTGTGGCCCTGACCACACCTTTGCCTGTTGAGTCCCTGTCACCCTTGTCCCAGGATTGGCTTACCAGGTCATTGTAGAGTACATTCAATTCCCAGACACATGGGAGCTGAGGGGGAACCAAGACCCCCAGCTCCTGTGCACTTGTGCCTGCACCCGGCCATGCACCCAGAGCCACCTCCCCAGTGGGTACTGGTTGCTGGGTGCCACGAGTGAATCCTCCCCACAGCCACATGGAGGTGTGTCCCCCATTGTGTAAATGGGGAACATGAGGTCAAGCTCACAGAGCCAGCAGGAGGCTGAGGCTTGTCCCCCATGTCAGCTCTTCCCCCAAGGTCCCTGCATGCAGGAGCTCCCAGATCAGGAAGAGTTCTCCCCACAGGGCCACCTCAGACCAGATGACAAGCCATGTAGCATTGGCCGTCATTCTCGGCTCAGGGCTAGTGTGGACCACGATCCCATGCTCCTGGGTGGCTATAATGATCTAGGACCCCGGGCTGGCCCACCACTGCTAAAGATTGTGCCCTGCCTGCCTGTAGGTTCAAAGCCCCCTCCTGCAGCAGCTGGGGGCAGCCGTGCTGGGGCACAGGCCCACGTGTTTCATCCACCAAGCCCGGATGTCCTGGCTGTTCTGGCCTGGGGCTGGGCCTACCACCCACCCACAGTTCTGTGTGGTGGGAGTGGGGCTGAGACCTGCAAGCCAGCCACTGCAGGCTGTGGGAAAGATTTTGTCTGCCCCCCCGCCCCAGTCAGCACCTTGGCCAGCGCCCTCCTCGCTGGAAGCCCAGCCTGTAGGATGACTCCTGAATGTCTGCTGTGGGTGTTGGCTCGGGGGAGGGAGAGGTAGGTGTGGGCCAGCACTGAGGGGGCCCATGGCAGGCAGAGGAGGAGCTGAGCAGGGCTGGGTGGCAGGTCAGTTGGCCTCCAGCAGGATGCAGCTGGCTCCTCAGTCTGGAGACAGTGGCGGGGGTGGGGTAGGGGTATGGTAAGGCACGTTTATCAGGGTGTGGGCAGGTTCAGGAAAGCATGAGGGATGGGGCTGCAGCCTCTGGTCCAGGAGCACAGCCAGCCCTAGGGGTCAGTGCTCAGGGCTGGAGCCAGAGACACCGTGGGGAGAGCCTGGTTGCACACTGCTGACCAGTCCCTGGCTTGCCCAGCAAGGGTGGAGAGATGACAGGCCATTTGGGCTGCACTGATCTGAGTTCTCCAGGCTTTCTGGACACATAGCTCTGGGGATCAGGAGTGGGTTTGGCCTGGAGACTGCAGACAGCTCTGCTCTTGGGGCTGAACAATCCTGTCACCCCTGCCTGACCTGGGCTTCTGCCTGAATTGTCCCCCTCAGACCCACCACAATGGCCTTCTGTCAGCTCACCCACTACACCCATCCAGTAAAGCCACATACAGGGCTGCCTCACCCCCCCTCCTCCACCCTGGGGACCAGCCTCCAAGTTCAGCCTGTCAGGCATGAGCGGGCCCTCCCAGCTGTGTGACCTCAGTCCAGCCCCTTGCCCTCTCTGAGCTTGGGGCAGCATGTGGATGAGGCCGACATTAACACCTCCTGGGATGGATCAACTGGCCACCGTCCCTCCTTTGCCCAACCTATCGTATTCCCTGAGAGGCCTGTACAAGGCCCTGAGGGGGCACATGGATTCTCACTCAAACCTCTAGGTCCACTGGAGGTAGAATCCAGCTTGGGCAAGGGGACCCTTCCACTGTGGCTGGTGCTGGGTGACAGGGACAGGAGTCAACCTGCTCAGATGCTCCCAGAGGCTCGTTTCCATCTTGGACAGAAAGGCCTGTGGTGGCTTTGCTCGGGCAGCTGATGTGGTACCCATGGGCATGTGGTCCCTTGACACCCTCCCAGGGAGGGATGGGGGAATAAGGGGCATGGCCTCTGCTGCGCACATTTTGGGCCACCCCAGGGCAGTGCAAGAAAGGACCTGTTAGCTCCAAGGGCATGCAGCAAACCTGCCTCCACCCAGGTGCTGCTCCAATGTGACCTTTCCCAGGACTCTGAGTGGGTGGCTGGGAATGTGGTCGCAGTTCCAGGGAGCTGGGGGGCGCCGGCCTGCCATCTGCTCTCTCTGCACAGGGCAGCTGTCTGTCCAAGGCCCAAAAGAACTCTGTGCCAGGCCTGCTAAGTGCATCATCCCATTCTGTCCCATGGTGTAGACAGTACCACCACTACCCATTTTACAGACAAGAAAATGGAGGTCAGGGGAACTTAGGTAGACCCACATCCTGGCAGCCCCTCCCAGGATGACCTTTGCCCACAGCCACTACTTCACCCAGAAACCCCCATCACCCCAACCTCAGGGCTGCAGAGGGTGTCTTGGCCTTCTGTCATCAGCCCTGTGCCCCTGAGGACACCCACTACACCCATCCAGTAAAGCCACATACACTACTAAGCCTGAGTTGGCCCAGCAGGAGCCTCTCTCTGTGACTTCAGAATGGGTCTGCAATGCCCACCCTGCCCTCCAGTCCAATCTACTCCAGCTGGCAGCCATGGCCATGCCTAGGCCTGCCTGAGGAGTGCCTCTGAGGAGTCCCTCTGCCCACCTTTGGTGCATATTAGGCCATAATTAATCTGCTTCTTCATCTCTTATTCATCAAAGCCACACACAGCAGCAATGGGGGCCAATGCAGGGAAGGGGCTGACAGCCCAATCCCTGGCAGCATCCCCAGGAATCCCACTGGGCCTGCCCATCTCCAAATGCCTCCGATCTCCACACCAACTAGAGGCTTCCTCCCACAGGATGGCACCCTGGATTTTGCCATGCTGGATGCTCTTTTTGCCAGCACCTCCCACCTCTGGGAGGCTGCTGGGCATGGTCGAGGAAGTGTGTGCATTACACAGTGGTGGCCCTCACTGCACATCCCATCCCCGCTTCTAGTGGCCGGTCTCCAGGATGGGATGGTCTCCCCTGGAGAGGGTAGGGGACTCAGGCTGAGTGGGACCCACAGCACTGGCACGTGGCCCCCAAGGCTGGATCTGCCCCTTCTGCTGACTCCCAGAAGATGCGGTGAGTCCCCAGGGCTCCCTAGTGGTCACTGGGGGGTGGGGTCAGGGTCCTGTCTCAGTGAGAGTAGGGTGGTGGCCTCTGTCTGGGCACTGGCTGAGACCGTGGCTAGGGCTGAGTAGGACGTTCCTGGTCCCTGAGGGCCAAAAGTCTGGAAGGCAGGGTACCCAGGCTGTGCCCAAGGCATCAGCATTTGATTCATGCCCCTCCCCCACCCCTGCAGGGAATGCAGATCCTTCCAGAGCCACCCACCCGCCAGTGACAGCTAAATTGGGAGCCACTGTTCACAGCAGGAGCCCAGCGAGTGGTCAAAACCGGGTTGGGAGAGGGGGGCACAAGCACCCAGTGGGGTGGGGAAGGCAGGCCTAGGTGTGGCCATGGCTTCCAGCTGGAGCAGATTGGAGTGGAGGGCAGGGTGGGCATTGCAGACCCATTCCAAAGTCACAGTGAGAGGCTCCTGCTGGGCCAACTCAGGCTTAGTGCCCAGTCTTGCTTTTCCCAGGGCTCCCTGGGCCCCTGAGACCCTCTCTGGGCTGCCATGATCCACGGGGCATGAAGATTTGCTCCATTTTTCAGATGGAGAGGCTGAGGGCAGAGAAGGGCCAGTCCAACTTGGAGCTCAGAACTCCAAAGTGTACTTTGGAGAAGCCCCTGGCCATCCTCCCCTCAATGTCTTCATCTGCTCTCTTGCTCAGTCACTTAGTCATTCAACAAACACATTGGAAGACTGCTTCCAGATACACTTATATTTCTCTGGACTCGACTCTTCTCACCCTCACAGGGTACAAATGGGGAAATTTAGCCCCAGGGAAGACAGGCTTGTCCTGGGGTCACTCAGCTAATGAACCCAAAACAAAGGGTGTGCCCATGCCAAGTGGTCCCCCAGAAGCCCACAGGGACTGATACAGTGGGGCAGGCACTTGGGACAGAGATGGCTTGGCACTCACCTGGTGCCCCACATTCTTCTGGGGTGGCTCAGTCCAAGGTCTTGAGGCTCTTTCCCCATCCCAGCAAGTGGCTCTGCACCCCAAGAGCCATGGGACAGAGAGCCATGCCCCATGCCCCAGCTTATCCTGGACTGAGCCTCACCCTGACCCCTGTCCAGGGTCCCAAGCAGGGAGCAGGACAGGTGCCTAACCTGCCCTTCAAGTGAGACAGAGGTCTCTGTGGCCAGTCCTGGAGACTAGTGTCCTGGGCTGGGACTAACCAGGTGCAGGTTCTGAGTTTTCTGATCTGTTCAACGGGCCCTATCACCAGCCTCTTTCACAGGGGTTGAAGGGCACGTTTGCAATGCCTGGCATGAGGAGGGGGCTCTGAGGCGGCTGCAGCAGCAGGCAGGCCTCTGAGACTGGGGTATTTTTAGCCAGGATTCCTGCT